GACCCAATACTATTATGGGCTACTGGACTCTTTTAGAATATTTTGCTGAGTTTACACACCTATAATATTCAAATAACGGAACTTAGCAAAAAAGGGGGATACAGATGAATGTCCATTTTGTATCTGTGTATTCAAATGGTTAGGATAGATATATTGTTACATTCTCTTAATGAATAGAGTGATTTGTTCTAATGGTGTTTGTGAATAGGATATCAAGTCTGCATCTTGTACAGCAATTAACCCCTAGGAAGAATGTATGCAATGTGTTAATTATTGAAACTGTCCTACCAATTTGATTTGAAAAAAAAAAAAGAACTCCAGGAAGCAGCAGTGTCTAATCACTGCAAGAGACAGTGGGCTTGGGGCCGGGGAGAGGGCTTACTAGAATAAGCGCTTGCCTAGTAAGCACAAGGGGCCTGAGTTCAACCCCTGGTTCCACCAAAAAAAAAAAAAAAAGAGAGAGACAGTGGGCTTACCAAGGGGAGAAGCCAGCAAAAGGCAAAGCTGTGGGGGAAAACCAAATGGAAATCCCGGGGTTGCAAAGTACAGTAGCTGAGCTAAGAGCTCAGTGGGAGATTTGAGCAGATGGAATAAATAATCCACCGAAAGGAAATAGGTCACTGAGACCATGTCGTCTGGGAAGTACATTACCCTATACACCCACGCAGAGACTCACGTGTAAGGGGCAAGAGAGGCTCAGGGTAAGGCCTGGTTTCACACCAGGGATCATAGCAGTTTTGAGGTAGGGGTGACACATTTGTAGTGCTGGGTGAGAATAAATTGCCATCCCAGAAGTTCCTTTGTGAAAGTTCAGTCCTTCAGAAATGAAGGTATTCCAGGCTCTCAAGCCCAGAATTCTTCCTGAGGAAGCCTACCCCACAAGAAACACTACAGGAAAAACTCTAGCCGGTTGGCCTAGAGGTCATTTCTGCATTCAAATGAAAAGCCTGAATTGGTAAATTGCAGCTCTGTTAGCAGTCCAGATGTCACCAGATAACGCTAGATTGTCAACAGCTGACACAGGCAGCTTCTGGTTATTGTTGTTGTCAGATGGTCAGTTTACAGGACTTTTGGGTCCCACATTGAGCAGTCTCCAGGAACCAAAACAAGTATACTGCGTGTGCTGCAGTACACTAGAGGAAGCCCTGCTAGGCTGGCTGGGAGAAATGGCTGGGGCTGCTTAGATTGCAGCTTATGTACCAGCAGCAGACCTGTGATTGGTCCAGTGCAGTCCCCTAATTTGTGCAGGGCTTGAGGACAAGCTTGAGAAGGTGAGGATAGAGCCAAGGAGTCTTTCAGAAGCGTCACTGTAGGGTTGGGAATATTAGTGGGTCCAGATCCTTTCCTCTCACTTTTAGCCATTCTAAGGCATCCTTCCCTTCCAAAAAAGTCAAAAGCAGCACCTGAGGTGGGGTGGGTGGCTGACACTGTGCTGATCATTGATTTGCAACTGTGTTGGAGCGAACGCAAGAGGGTGGATGCTGGATAACCAGGGAAGATGAAGGCGGGGCCCAGAGGGGTGGATGCTGGGTAGCCAGGGAAGATGAAGGCGGGGCCCAGAGAGGTGGATGCTGGGTAGCCAGGGAAGATGAAGGCGGGGCCCAGAGAGGTGG